ATTGTATTTACGTCTTCGTAGCAGAAAGGACACGTAAGCAGTGTGTTGTGTCTATGTGTGTCACGCAGAACATAACTTGGTAAACTAAACACAACATACGCGTCCCGCGTGTTTCGGCAACCTTATTGTGCACGTCTCCACATATCTAGACAAAAAAAAAAAAAAGCATTTCCAAGCTATCTTTATATTTCACCTCGTTATAAGCATCACTATTTAAGTAGTAGTAATCTAATTGGGTTGTTTTTAAGTAGTGGGGTTTCATGTTGATTATAAGAATTCGAGTGATGATTATGTTTGCGATTACACGACACCAAAAGAGTCTGCATTATCAGAAAGAGAAACGGCTTAAAGCCTTCACACACATGCATCCTATCCTCAACGGATTCACGTGCGTCTATGGGCTCCTTGCACTGACGTCACATCGCATACTTTTGAACACCAAGTAAAAGGAGGAGAGGGAAGCTGCTTTTGTGAGAATTTTGAGTGACAGGTTATTCTTCTATAATCTTCTGGGGGGACAATAGCGACGCCTGTGCTTATCCGCGATGCAAAAAGGAGAATCCTGATAAGAGGGGAGCTCCTTCTTTCCCTTTTCTCTGGAGGGCATCGGCCTAAGCCGACAGTGCGGCGGAAGCTATGTGTTCGCCGGACCAATTAATGGCATGCCTCTTATCGCTTGACCTCGCGCTCGGCGCGTGAGTACATGGAGGAGGGTATCATCAGGCGGTGCAAGGCCGACAGTTGGCTGCCCCAACAAGCATGCAGCTTCCACCGCACTGTCAGCTTACGGGTGAACGGAGTATAGCCAACGTATTCGTAGCGTCTAGCGGGGTTCACAACGCCTCAGTCTGGCGACGCTTCGAGGTCGACGCCTTTGAGCGCGCCTCGGCGACCTTCCCCTCTCAATGTCTCCGAGGGGAGCGGCCGCTAGACCTTGACATTTGCGTGAAATCCGATGTATATGGGTAGGCCTTTACATTCACTTTGTTCTGCGCGACGGTGTTATCCCGCTGTCCCTTTGGCAAGGTCATTTGCTGGCCGATGCCTGGGCCACCGACAGCCCCCCGTGGACACTGCACAAGCAAAGTTCCTTTCTCATGTCGCAACAGCTGCGAGCCGCTGAGAGGTGACTGACAGCTAAAGCAAACACACGGAGAGGGATAGTGGCGGTGTTGTAGATTGACCAAATAAGAGTTGACCGGTCCGTCGAGCCGGTGAAGTTAAAACACTTATAATCCTCTAATGGCGGGCCTACCCGCTGGGGTTGCAGCGGCTTCTCATTTTGCCTCCTTATCCCTTTTCTCCCTCTTATCTCCCAACCGGTGGTGACCTTGTGGCCATTCTGGACCGAAGAACATTACTTGGTTTTCTCTCTCCTCAAAGCATTATATCTCTCCATATGCTGAGCTGGTTATGCTGGCGGTGGCCTTCTGGCAGCTCAGTGCCAAAAACATACCGCCTTTTTCCTTTTCTCAAAGCTCAGTCACGCAGTCAGCTGAGCTGGTCATTTCTGGCACCGAAGAAGGGACGATTGCAGGCACCTTTAGCAAATGTAGACTGTTTTGCCCTGATTATGCCAGAAGACACAAAAGTAAAATTGAATACCAGCGCAATTTTCGCAAAGTGTCTGATCTGGACTTCGAACTGCTAAAGCAGCTACTTCCAGCTGAACAAGCGGCATCTGTCAACGGGGACGACAGCATCTGCAAGAACTGCTTTGCAATGTTCAAGCGCGACCTGCAAGACTTCGTCAAGGAGCAGAGGAGACTTTCACTGAGCGACGCCGCAGTTGAGGAGGAGCAAGCCATGATCGAAGACGTGAAGGAAGTCATCAGCGCAGCGAACGTAAGTGTGACACCGTTGAAACTGCCTTCCGCGCTGAAGAAAGATCTTCGAGATGAATACGTAGAAAGAAAGCTAACGCAAGCAACAAAAGACTTCTCGAAGAAGATCGGCCGCCGTCTTAGTGAGGTTTATCACACAACAGAAAGCCCCGACCTGCAGAATTCTTGTTCGTCCTGCTCTCAGTGGGCATCCAACATACGGTGCGCTTACGTGAACAGCTCGTCCATACAAGAAAAGTGCCGAATTCTGACTCTGCTACCCTCCGGTTTGACGAAGAAAAAAGTTATGTCTCTAATTCCCGAAGTCACAACTTATCTTCTGGACAGATCAAGAAAGTTGAAAGCTGAAAATGGTGTGTGGGCGATCGCCGACGCCTATCAAGGCCATCCCTTAAACAAAAATGATGTGGCCCTCGCACTGAGCTACTATACGTCCGATGACAAAGACTGTACAAGGGCAAGCCCCAATGCAAAAGATGTTGTGACGCTGTACTCGGACGGACAAAAAACCCTCGTTGCAAAACGTTTTTTAACAATGTCTGTCCGTGAGATGTACAAAAAAATGAAGACATCTCATCCAGAAATTAAGCTTGGCTTGACAAAGTTTTACGCCCTGCGACCAAAATGGGTCATGAAACGTCCCGTGCACGAAGAGTGCGTTTGCATTTATTGTGCGAACTTCGCCCTTTGTTTGGCGGCATTATCAAACGCAGGCGGAAAAGATTTGAGTCTAGAACACGTCAAGAAACTTTGCCTGTGCGAAAACCCATCGGAGGAGTGTCTTCTGTTAAACTGTAAATCGTGTCCGAAAAAAAATGGTTTAACTCTAGAATCGTTATCAATCAATGAAGAAGACGAAGTGGAGCTGGCAATATGGGAATCCGGTGAATTGATTAAGAAACATTTGGATGGTAACGCGTTTCTTAACGAAATAAGAAAATGGGCAACGAAGTAGATTCCCCACTGGATCATCCGACAAGCCCAGAGACTTGCGATATGCGTCGAAAAAAGTCAAATCAAGCCGCGAACTGCCGTGTTGCATTTTGATTTCGCAGAAAACTGGAGTGTTGTTCTTCCTCGAGCCGTACAAGGTTTTCATTGGAAAAATCAAATGGTTTCTATTTTCACCTGCGTTGCCACAACACAGCAGAAGACTTACAGCTTTGGAGTCATCAGTGACGACATCGTTCATGATACAGCACACGCATTGTTCGCCCTGAGTGCAATTGAAGAGTGGCTTGAAGAAAATATTCCCGTGTTTCTAGAACTAATCTACGTATCCGACGGAGCAGCAAGCCATTTTAAGAATAGGTTCCAGCTGCACGAGATGGCGAAAAGAAATGAAGTGACCAAGTGGATTTTTTCCGCTACAGGACATGGCAAAAGTGCATGTGATGGCGTGGGTGCAGTGCTCAAACACCAGGCGTGCCTACACAACCTCAGATCATCGGAACTGGAAACAATCGGATGTGCGGAGGACTTTTTTCGGGTGGTTGCCGCGAAAGTACCTGGAATCGTCCTTCTAAAATGTGATGCAACTTGCCTGAAAGACTACCGTAACTTAAAAAAAAAAGACTGGAACGCCGTAAGCCCCGTGAAAGGCATTCAAACACGCCATCTGTGGGTCAAGGTCCAGAACGAAGACGGGTCTGTTAACTTGGCGATGGAAAAATACGCAAAACCGTGAAAGTGAAGTGTTAGCCAAGTTACCAGACTGATCCCAATGAACGTTTTTAAGGTTTTGTATTGTTCGTGTTAGTGTCCCTACTTTCATCTCACCTGCACAAGTTCTTATTTAAAAAAAAAATATTAAGATTAGAAAAAAAAAAGCTTGTCGATTGTCAATCGCCTTAGCGCGTGGGGAGAAGCGGCCATGTTAGTTAACTTTTACTTCTCCTCGTTCTGTAGATCGACGTGATCGACCTGTCAGTGGTTCGACAGGATTTTTTTTTGTTTGTCATGCTAGCAGTCTTTACAAAACCTTGTAAATATTGTACCTATATAATTGTGAATGCAGCTGTGGCAAGTTTCAGAAATATGTTTTGCTAAGAAATTGCGTTTCACATTGTTTTAAGTATTTAATGTTGAATTTTGAGAATAAATGTTCATATCCTTTATTAAACGTACCTTTCATGTATCAATTCTGCTTAAATATATGCGAAATTTCAGTCAACAAATACAATAAGTCAGATCTCAACAAATAGTAGATAACCACGCAAAACAATCGGTAACGATCGAGATTGTCATTGCATAGCAAGCCCTATAATATCATGTTTTTAAACGCTTGGCGTTACATCAAAAAACAAAATACCCACTCTAACTTTTATCAACGTTTCAAGACTATGTTAAGAGGTTTTCGTACAAAAAATGAAAAAAAAATTAAAGATGGGTTTTTTGAGAAAATTGTCTTTGAATATTGTACTTTTAGCGATTCCTCTTTTCTTCAGAGGTTTGTTTCACTGTATTACACCTGATTGACAATACCGATTATATTTTTCCAAAATAGGTAATATCTTAAGCTTTTGTTTGATGTGCTGCTTATGCCAAAACGTTGAACAAAACGAAAGTTATAATCACTCAAGTTCGGCAAATATTTGTCAAAGGGACTAGGTTTGACCATTTTTATTTTACGAAATATTAAAAATATTTTTTTTCAGTTGTAATTAAAAAATTGTACCCAAAGTATAAAACAAGTAAAAAAGGTTTCATAACTGTGCGGCGCATATATGAGCGTAGAGAGAATCTCAAACATGCGACCTCTGACAATCGGCAAAATCTCAGAATCCGCTTTCGGCCAAATGAAGTATAATAACTCGAGAAAAAAATTTTTTTCTTCAAAACCGCTTCCCATTTCGTTCTAATGAAGAATTAGCCCACAACATATATTTTTTCCAGAATTTTTTGAAGACCCAACATTTTTTCTTGCATGATTTGAGATGAAACCACCCATATCTATATATATATATATATGTGTGTGTGTGGGGGGGGGGGGGGGGGAGACTAAGGCGGGTTTGTGTCTTAACTGCTACAGCGAGATCCCAGCATCAAGCATGATGGCAAAGTGGGAACTTTCTAAAGAGCTGCTCTGCCTGTGGCACATTTGCTTCAGCTAAGGTATTCAATGGCAGACAAAAAAGATAATAACACTGCAGAAACTTGACTGCAGACCTTTATTTCTGAGAGACGGAGAAGCAAGTCTGAATACATATTTATCATCCGCAGATTTTGTTCAAGCCAAACGACATAAAAGTAAAAAGAAAAATTATTACAATAAAGATAGGCTTTGAAATTAGTTACACAATACAAAAATAAATGCACCTTAAGCAACAATTCAAAGGACCCTGTAACCAAAGCAAATTCATGGCTGAGTTAGTATTCATAGAGTCTTGGGTTCACCAATCCTCCTCATTCTAATAAAAAATATAAGAATATTAGCCATCAGTGAAGCAGAGAAACAAAATACTAACCTGTTTTACACAAAAACAAGCAAAAAGAATTTTCCAGCATACAAGGACACCCAATTCCGATGCAGACAGCCAGGCAACAAAGAAACAACTGCCAGGAACATGCACACGGAGCAAGAAAACACCTAAAACAACATAAAGTGACATCTCAAAGCACGTGTCGTATAGACCTTTTCATTTCAGTAGTTGCCTGACCGGCGGGTAGAGGGCGCTGGTGCACTCGCCACCATTAGGTTGCTTCAATTTTGGCGGTTTCGCTTTCAACGTGCACGCCATTGTAATGCTGTTTCATGCCACTTTCGATTATTTTGCGATATAAATTTCTTTCTTGTAGCACACAGCGAATGAAACAGTAGTATTGAGCCACTTGGCAAACCTCAAAATGGTTTCGAGCCTAAATTGCGATCTTTTTTTACGAACACTATTTGCGTCTGATTCCGTCCATCGTTAATTTCAACCAGGTTCGGCGGTGAAACAACTGCGCTGATGCACAGGGAGGAGTACCATTGTCCACGGTCGTACCCGCGGACACTAAGTTGCAGAAGAAAAAAAATAAAGAGCAGGACAAGCTCCGCCTGCAGCGTGCGCTCGTTTGCTTGCCGCCGTGCTTTGGCTGTGCGTGCACCGAGCGGTACGGAAGGTAGATAGCTCGCGCTCAAGTCAGAGCTGCTGCTGCTAACCTTATATTCCAACAGACTATATTGCATGAGTGCTTAGTGAAAGAGAAGGTCGACAACATTATTAACAATCTGCTGAATCACCAAGAACAGATGAACTGACAAGTTTACTGTTCGATATTTGGTTTCCGTACACCAACCTTTTCTAACTGCGAGACTGGAAACGTCTTTTATAATGACTAGAAAAGTTTCATATAATCACGTAGATAATATAAAGAAGTGATATTGTCTCGACCGGTTTTATTTAAAGAAATTAAGCGCTCGAGAAATATTTTGATAGACCAGCCTGGCTGAGTAGAAAATTTCTTTATCTAAAGTACTCATTACCAGCATTTCAAAATATTGGCCTTATGAAATAAACTTTTTGTTATATGGACATTTGCTTACGACGTTCTCAAGGTATGAGAATGGTGAGATAAGTGAATGCCAGACTTCGATTCAAGTCTAATATTCATCTTCCGTAAAATTTGCCGAATGAAATTGAAGAGCGAAAAAGAAAAGATCTCCGATAATTTTGGCTGAAGTCGAACGCCAGGCGCCACGCAATCGACCTATGTAGAAAGCTGTTCACTGATTTGATACGATGCGCTTTGTGCATTTTGACGTCGCCAGCTAATGAAAGTAACTCCCTATTCGCCGTCGACAACCGGCTGCACTCGGGTGATTTTCATGCTGAAGGTTTTTTTTCGGTTTCGCATTTTGTGAATCATAGGCACTATCAAGCTGTCTGTGAAAGTTTCTTGCGCGGGGAGTCCAAATATTTGTGTTGAAATAAATTAATTGAATCTGCATGGTTATATTAAACAGAATGACTTAAGCAATTTAAAGACTATGAACATGGGACCAAGCACGATATACAATTCCGTGGAATTCATAAACAAACCGATAAAGCGAATGCTTATATCGCACACGCGATTAAGAACGTAAAACAGATATAGGTGGTGATATTGCGAGCAAACAACTTGCCTAATGTTAAGGTACCGTTATTTCTAGCATAAAAAATAATTCAAACTAAACGTTTGTTCCCGCGTCTTGTCCACAAGTTCTCTAGTGTAATCAAAAGAAACTGTTTTCGATTTGTTGTAACTACAAAACACCATGCTTTCGGGAAAAACACGTGGCTAATTACGCTGAGTGTTTTTGTTTCCTTCCTTGTCACCAATGCGAACTCATATATATAATAACATTGGGCTTCCTATTGCAAATGTTCCACCCTTATTAGTAACCAAACCTCAGTTCTCGTAAGTTATTGGTATTTGAACCCTCGAGGCTCTCTCCAAGTCATATAGGTCGTCAATGTGCGCAAGTGCTAACGCTGATTCCTGTTCCTATAAAGCCTTTTCACACGTATCCCGCACCGCCGACGGTAAAAAAAATATTCAAAACGTGTTACAAAATCAACTACAGAAGATGCGCGCATAATGATGTAATGGAATTGCATTGTAGGTATATAAGTATCTGACGACACTTTATGGAGTAAGGCTAGAGACGCGGTGAAACGCGACGAAAAACACGAATTCAGCGCATCCGCCAAGGCGCAAACGGGAGAGCGGAGCAACAAGTTGAAGCAACCTAATGGCGGCCGCATCACGTGATTCCAAGATGGCAGCGCCCATGCGGCGGAGGGTGAAAAGGTCTATAAATACATGATTGCGAAGATACCAGTACAAAGAAGGAAGGTGAAAACAGAGTATAAGCATTCTAGTACGTTTCACATTTTCCACACTTTTCATCAATGCAGTCCCAAAGGGACATTACACAGCATTCAATATGGGTACAGTGCCAATTTATAGCAAAACCTGCTGGGCTGTGCGAGAAATATTCAAATAGCGATGTCCGAACCGGTAGAAGGAAGTGTTGTGGTGAACACACACATACTCAGCGATAAGTACCCCACTGAGCAAACTGCTAGAGTGAGGTCTTAGAACGGTACAGGACAAAAAAATAAAAATGTTCCAAAAAGTTAACTCACATTACTTAATCGGGGACACATACCAGAAAAAACAAATTTCTGGAAAAATGTAGATTTTGAGAAATGCCATGCTTACATCCACCAACACCTAGAGAGTATTCCAGATTGTTTTATTTGTTTGCACTGCATAGTTACTAAAGAAAAGGTAGAGATTTGGGCACATTGAGCCCGTTTTTCTTCGTTCCATTTTTTGGCATATATTTCACATTAGGAAAACTATCGTTAGGTAATTAGACAAAAGGAAAGGCTTACTCGTTTTTCATAACTGGAATTTAGTGGGCACTGCAACTGTGGGATTGTTCTTTTTTTACCTTATGAATGCCTTTTATAAAAAAATGTTAAGATTTTGTCGACGACGTAAGAGGCAAAAGATATATTTAATGTTTAAGCGCGACGTAAGCATAAAATAATTTTTTATGCTTACGTACTTGCGTACAAGGACTAAAGTTTCTATGAAGGATCTCGCACAGGCTAGGTGGTGCCGGAAAAAGGGTGGCCAAGAATATTGTCACTACAGTCTTGGTATCTAACGTAACATACGCGACATACTTCTTCCCGCTCACCAAAGTGCACCACTTAAAACTACAGAGTCTGTGGAATGATGCTAGGAGGGCAATCCTTGGACTACCTCAGCACACTGCTGCACAACTGCATCTACCTCCCTGAATTCAAAGTTCTCCTACAACAACAAAAGGAAGCCCATCTTCCACGACTCCAGCATACCAAAGAAGAGCGAGCCATTGCGACATACTTGGATGTCCCGATCCAATTTGTGAATCCCATTCCGGAGCCAAGGCCTCCCTGGAAACTCATCAGTCTCACACCCGGCACCAAACCTTTCCCACAAAATATGAATACAAAAAGGGACAAAGAAACAAAAAAGCAGCAAGGCAAGCAACATCGGCAGGAAATACAAGAGCTTCTGAAAGGCGAAAACAACATAGTGGTGTATACCGACGGATCTACCAACCCCCCTACTGGTACTTGGGTGGGGGCCACGTCAATATACCACTGCTCTCAAAGGGCACCGCAGGCCAACTTGGTCATGCCCAGCCCGGCAAGAAGGTCGGGGGCTCTACTAAGAAAGCTGAACTCCACGCCATTCCCCTTGGGCTGCACAGCCCTTAGGCGATGAACGTCAGCGACAAACGACTCATCCTCTACACAGACTCTCAATCAGCCATCAGAGAAATCCAAAGACATCGCTCCACCTGCAGCCCCACGATAGACAAGATCTACCAAACAGCCAACAGGTTAACGAAAGAAAGCAACATTCAGTTCGACATCCGATGGGTCCCTGCTCACAGCGGGAACCCTGGAAATGAAGCTGCACACGAGACAGCTGGATGCGAGATGAGAAGAATTTCATCGAGCCCGTCCGCATCCGCGCAATCCTCCCAGCATGCTACTAGACCATCCGACCGATCCTCCGAAGAGTACGACCCTAGAGAATGGCTTCGCCATAAACGAAACAAGCGGCAAAAAGAACTCAAGGAGCTGTGGACTCCTACCTACGGCCCTATTACAGAAAAAGTGCTCCGCAGAAAAGACATGGTGCTACTTCACCGTATTCGTACTGCTAGTGCAATGACTCCTAGGACTATATATCGCATTGAACTTAGTACTCTTAGAAGAATAGAACCTTATGCCGTCCCCCCTGACCCTAGCTGTGAACGATGTAAGGATTCCAACTCTATCCCCCAACTCAATCATATCATACTATGGGAATGCTCGGCTCTTGCCGGGCAACACTAGGATGTCTTGGGTGGCCTTCCGCTCGACGAAAGACCCATGAATATGGGACAGTGGACAGACGCAACTGGGGTCTCTGAAAGGAGGACTCAAATCCTGAAGTCCCTACTTGACTATCTGCCTCCTCACCTTGAACACCTCATCATCTCTCACCCGCATCGTCATTCAGGCAGATTTTAAGGTCTGGCGGCCAGGTTCCCGAACTACCACTGGCACGTGGAAAATCGATGCTTAAAGGGACAATGAAGGCAATTTCGGAGATCTTTTTGGCGATTGAACTGGGTTCCAGGCACGTCTCAGGCCACGTTGCCCAAATTTCAGCCGAAACCGGCGCTTGTGTGCCGCGCAAATCAATTAAACAGTCGCGGTAATAATCGTACCGGGATCGACTGGGACGACGCCCCAAGAGTTGCGGGAGAAGCCAGGAGAAGCGGAGCTCACGTGACTGATGCGGGGCCAAGGAGCGCGACGTCACAAGAGACGAGTCAGCGATTGGTCAAAACGAGACGTGCCCTCGGTCACGTTTTGGTTCGCGATTTTTAGAAATACTGTTCTAATTTCCGCTTGAATAACCATCAAAAGTATAAATCGGATCGGAAATGATTACTAAACCGTAAATAAAGAAGCATCATTGTTTTTCTCTTTGCTACGCTGGACGCGAAACCGGCAACGAGCAACTATGGGCCAACAAAATAAAATTAAAAAAGAACACGGTACTCGAAAGATTTTACTAAATGGTAGCTGTAGATGGCTGTTCTAACGGTCGACTGAAGACCAGTATTGGTTCAGGCGACGCTAGTTTTCATGTGTGGGTTGCTGTTCGTATTCTTGGACGACAAAAAGAGGAAGTCCGCGGAGGAACCGGATCCCGGAACCGCGGGATCGCTGCCGCTTTCCCTTCGGCATCTCCCCCTTGTCCGTCCTTCGCCATGCGAGCCGCTCGTTGCCGGCTGGGCGGTCTCCGTCGGGTGATGACAGAGGCCGCCACACACGTACCCCCGTTCCGTTGGTGTTCGGTCACTGAACGAAAGCTCGAACTCGCTCGCGAGAGCGGCATTCGTTCATGTTGACAGAGTCGGCGCAACAACTGCGCCACCGCGCTGCTATAACCCACCGCGGTAACCAGAGTTTCGATCTCCTAAATACTACCGATACCGACTATTCACACTTGACGTCACTCCCTACGTCACCTCCGTTTTTGGAGGCCCAGAAACGAGACTGGAGATGGTTCAGTTTCGGTTTCTTTACTTCTTTCGTAGCCATAGAAATATGCGTCATAAATGTCTACAAAAAAATTGGGCGGCATGCTATGCTCCCAAGAAGCATTAAAACACCGTTTAAAAAAAAAAAAATAAAATCGTCTTCATTGTCTCTTTAAGCGAAATACCACATGATCATTCTGTAAATTAATATGTTTACTACTACTAAATAAATTACTTTTTGGAAATTTTGTTCCCACAGTTGCACTTTCCGGGCATTCTGCTGTGTATCTAGTGAAGGAAAATGTCAGGTGTTACATTAGTTTCCTAACGATAGTTTTCCTAAACTATGTCAGTGTGTTTCTAATAAAAACAACAATAATTTCTTTCACATTTCATGTACACAGATGAAACTTTGCGGTGCATTTTGTCTCGCCACTACCAGCATATACTATAATTTTTATTCATACTAAGCCAAAGGTTCAAAAGTTGACCCTTTTGGGTAGCGTTCGCTCTTAGGGCCCATTCACACACTTGCGTTCTGTCTACGGCACTTGGTTCAGGCATTACGCAAATGCCCTTAGGGTTTGTTAACCTCGTGTGCTAGCATGTCCCCGATCAGGCAAGACCGTCAAAACAATGACTTCGGACACTGCTGGAATTCGTCAGGCTTATTGCGCATAAAGGCTTCAGCGTGGCACTTAAGTAAATATTAATCCGAGCAAAGCCTTTGGAACCTATGCTGCACTCGGTTATATGCACACTTTGATTCGGCACAGATCCAAGAGGCGTCATACTCCGCTCCAGGAGGAAGAAAAAAGGAGGGAGAGGAGAATGAGGAAAGAGGGAAGGAAGGAGAGGAGGATTAGAAAGAAAGCGAAATAGGAGGGTATGGGAGGGAATTGGGAGAAGGCCCCTGAAATTTGTTGCGAAACAAAAAAGAGGGACTTGCGGTCAAGGAGGTCCCCCCGGCGATTTGTGGTGGGGGACCTCCTTGACCTTTGTTGTGGCGTTCTAGTAGATTTAGAAACTCTGCTTCCGGATGTTCGGCTGAACGCTGGTTGCTTACTGTTACAGTTAATTAATGGGGTTAATATTTTTAATACGCTCGACTAGCTCTACCTGCTCCCAAAGGCGAGGGGCTGCAGCGGGAGGAATGAGAGGATGCCAGCTGGCAAAATAAGGACTGCTGCAATGCTGCAGACACACCTTAACTGGCTGAGGTGGATGTCGATGGATGGCCCATCTGCTGCAATGATGCTTTCCTTCGAGTCCTCGATATCGTTGCTAAGCACCACCCGATGCCTTAGAGCACTCGGGGGTGCGATTCAAGATTAAACTAAGAAAAAGATTTTGTATTGAGTTGTAAATTGGTTGAACTCAGAACTTATTCTTACTCTTAGGAGCACAGGAGCAATAAGCATGCACTCTTTACATTGGGGCTATTGCTCAGATTTTCAAGAATGTACTAGGTTAATGGATTTGATTTCGTATAGCTGCGTTGTTAGCATTTTGAATTTGGGTTGTTTTGTTATTTTATTTAACGTGAATTTTATATTTTTTTCGGGATTGGGTGAACTCTGGGTAAAATTGTTTCCCAAACTTATTTAAAAAGGGCTGCTCCTATTCCGCACACAAACTGCCACGGTGCGCTGAGTCGAGGGTATTAAAAATATTAACCCCATTATCTGTAACAATAAGCGACCAGAGTTTGGTCGAACATCCAAAAACAGTTTCTAAATCTGCTAGAATGCCCTAAGCACGTGAAACGAAGATATCGCATTCCAATTCGTCTGTTTTCCCACAACAAATTGCCGCGGGAACTCCCCAACCGCAAGTCCCCCTCTTTTTCTACTCTCAACAAATTTTCGAGGGCTTTCTCCCAATTCGCTTCTCACTCACTCCTCTCTCTCCCTAATCCTTCCTTCCTTCCTCCTCTCTCTCCCTAATCCTTCCTTCCTTCCTCCTCTTTTTATTCTTTCCTCCTCCTCCTCAAGAAGAGTATGATGCCTCTTGGATCTCTACCCTTTGACTGAAATGGCATCAAGTTCTGGATGAGTTAAATGATTACACATGGGGAGGCTCAACTTGTGGGCCAACTGCAAGGCATTCCGCACGTGTGCCATCTGGTTCCGGCAGATAAACTTCTATTCTGAGCAAAGCTTTTGGGGCATTGTTTGCACTTGTATGCTTTTTAAACACTGTGTGTTCGATAATGGTAGGCAAGACTGGTACTATGAGAAAAGGCTCGGGGGCACTGCTTGCATTTATATGGCTTTTCACCTGTGCGAGTTCGATTATGCCTTCTCAAATAGGAATTTCAAGTAAAAGCTTGTGGGCACTCTTTGCACTTAAATGGCCTTTCACCAGTGTGCAATCGATTATGGCTTCGTAGACTGGAATTTCGAGCAAAGGCTCGGGGGCACTCCTTGCACTTAAATGGCTTTTCGCCAGTGTGCACTCGATTATGGCTTTGTAGCTGGGAATTTCGAGCAAAGGCTTGGGGGCACTGCTTGCACAGAAATGGCTTTTCACCAGTGTGCATTCGATTATGGCTTCGTAGAGTGGAACTTTGAGCAAAGGCTTGGGGGCACAGCTTGCATTGAAATGGCTTTTCACCAGTGTGTGTTCGATTATGGATTTGTAGAGTGGAATAGTGAGCAAAGGCTTTGGGGCACTCCTTGCACTTAAATGGCTTTTCACCAGTGTGTGTTCGATTATGGCTTTGTAGAGTGGAATTTCGAGCAAAGGCTTGGGGGCACTGCTTGCACTTAAATGGCTTTTCACCAGTGTGCCTTTGGTTATGCTTTCTCAAATAATCATTTTGAGCAAAGGCTTGGGGGCACTGCTTGCACTTATATGGCTTTTCACCAGTGTGTGTTCGATTATGGCTTTGTAGAGTGGAATTTCGAGCAAAGGCTTGGGGGCACTGCTTGCACTTAAATGGCTTTTCACCAGTGTGCCTTTGGATATGCTTTCTCAAATAATCATTTTGAGCAAAGGCTTGGGGGCACTGCTTGCACTTAAATGGCTTTTCACCAGTATGTGTTTGATTATGGCGTTGTAGATGGGAATTTCGAGCGAAGGCTTGGGGGCACTGCTTGCACTTAAATGGCTTTTCACCAGTGTGCATTTGGTTATGCTTTCTCAAATAGGAATTTTGAGCGAAGGCTTGGGGGCACTGCTTGCACTTAAATGGCTTTTCTTCAGTGTGCAAATTATTCTGGCTTCGTAGATAAGAATTTCGAACAAAGCCTCGGGGGCACTCCTTGCACTTAAATGGCTTTTTAGCAGAGTGTATTCGATTATGGTTTGTTAAAAGGGGATTGTTAGCAAAAGCTTGGGGGCAGTGCTTGCACTTAAAAGGCATTTCACCAGTGTGTGTTCGATTATGATTTCTCAGATTTGATTTTTGAGCAAAAGCTTTGGGATACTGCTTGCACTTACACGACTTTTGACCAGTATGTGTTCGATTATGACGGGTCAGAATGGAATTATAGGCAAACTCTTGGGGGCAAAGCTTGCACTTAAATCGCTTTTCACTGTAGTGCTTTTGAGTGTTGCTGAGCACTTGGACCTTAGAGCCAGACTTGGGAGGATGCTGGCACTTGGATTGCGCATCACCATGGGCAGCCAGGTGGCTCACAATTCCATGCTGATCTCTGGTGACATACGTGCAGGAACAGCATCTGAACCAGATGTCCTTGGTGACTTTCAGTGGGCAGCTGGTCTTGCCCAACAATGTGGCACCATCACCTAGAAAAAAAAACCCATATGTATTCACACAGGAGGAAAGCCAAACAAAGATAGGCAATTAGTTTGGAAAAAAGTTTTGCCACAGCTGTAGTTTAATATTGTGTTGCGCTTTGAAATTCGATTCACAAAAAAACTCAAATGCAACTGGCAATATTAAAAAAGTTTCTTTTATTGAAATATGGAAATCCTAAAAAATTCCGATATTTTTATTAATAAATTACACTTCACATATCTTCTCACTTTGGAAAGTTTTTCTATTTTCTAAAAATTGTTCTTTTTCACAAGAAAATGTTTTTACCCAGTACCTTTGGATTTAGAATCTGGATCTACTTTTGGAGGCTGGATACATAATTATTCAGAAACTAGAACAAAAACCATATCTGGAGATTGTTAGATATGTTGTTTTCTAATTGGCAGTGACTGATTATGGCAGTTCAGATGGAAAGCCTTCGATGAAGTTATCAGTAAAAGAATTACAACATGCGGTGCAGTCATGTCCCGCTAATATGGATGCCCGCTATATAAACAATTATTGGGGGACCAATCCCCCTCTGTACAACTCTGCCTCGTGAATATTAAAAGCCAGAGCGCAGGCTAAAATCAGCCAGTTCTGGGAACAAACTGGGTAAATACAGGCAAGTTTGTCTCATTTTTACGGACACAAAGGGGTCCACAAATAAAGAAAAAAGAGCTTAGTTAAGGCCTTGGGTTACAGACTTCACCGAGTTCCGGTACTTTCGGCTGCTCGTTTCGCTCCTTTCAAAAGGCATGACCATGGCGCCGAAGATAGGCTCAATTTATTGGGACTTTCCAGCAAAATGTGTAATCTTTCCGTTCCTTATGTTATGATGTTCTTCAGGTTTGTCATCTGTGGCCACTTTCTAGCTTGTCTGGCCTCTTTCGTCTATGCACATTGGCAGGCAGCCATGTTTTGGTGGAAAATCAGTACGGCAATCATGGGCAGACTTTGGCAAGGCGATAATTCCAGAGGGAGCACTTAGCTGGCTCAGGCAGTGACAGGAGTCTTAAGAGTAAACACATACAGGGCTAAATTTGAAGATATGAATAAAATGTACACTATGCGCAGAGCAGAGATAAACAATTGAACATGTGATTCTAACATGTAAGGAGTTTAGTGCTGCCCTTCCCAAAGGGGTGATAGACGTACCGGGGCCAGTTTTGCTGGCCCTGGTAGATGCAACAAAGACAGAGTGCTGGTGGAAATTATCTAGGAAAAAGTGACTGAACAACTACCATAAGATACTGGGGGAGCGCTCATCACTTTTCCTAAAAACGGGAATGATCTAGAAATGGGGACTTGTTCAGTCAAATTGAGCACAGTGTATAATTTGCAGTATTCCCAAGTTTGGAACATGTTAATAGTGGGTGCTTGAACACTTCACTGCCCTGTTAAAGAAACAATGAACATGATTTTATTTATTTTCTTAAATGGTGTCTTTAGGCTTCTTGGGAACCTAGCACACTGCCCATTTTTTTACAGACATTTGTGATGCATATTTTTGTGCCTACAAAAAAACTCAAGAAACCGAAGCTGAACTATCTTCATTCTCATTTCTGGGCCTCTGCAAACGGAGATGACGTAGGGAGTGACGTCAATGTGAGTAGTCGGTATCGGTAGCATTTAGGAGATCGACACGCTGGTTACCGTGGTGGGTTATAGCAGCGCGTGGTCGTTCCCAAAGTAAACACGACATCGACATCTGAAACCAAAACCAAACGTCTCCCTCGTGTTCTGCACTGTGTTCTTCTTTATTTATTTTGTCTGCCAATAGTCACTCGTTGCCCGTTTCGCGTCCAGCATAGCAAAGAGAAAAAAAATTATGCTGTTTTATTTATGGTTTAGTAACCATTTCGGTACGATTTATACGTTTGATGGTTATTTAAGTGGAAATTGGAACAGCGTTCAAATCACAAACCAAAACATGACCGAGGATACGTCTGTCTCGACCAATCGCTGACGCGCCTCTTGTGACGTCAAGCTTCAAGGCTCCACAACGTCACACAAACTCCGCTTCTCCCGCAACTCTCAGGGCGTCGCCGCAATCGATCCCGGTAGGATTACCGCGACTGCTTAATTGATTTGCGCGGAACAGAATGCCGATTTCGGCTGAAATTTCGGCAAAGTTGCCTGGGACGTGCCTGCAGCCCAGTTCAATCGCCAAAAAGATATCCGAAATTGCCTTCATTATGCCTTAACTGACTGTCCTCTTCATTTTTTCCAGCATTAGCCTACTACCTGGTAAACAGCCCGCTTCCTCTCTTCTATCTCCACACCCCTGATCTAATGGCGACGAGGTGCTTTGGTGGCACCACCTTGCGGGCGCCCTTTGGTGGCGCAGCCGGTAGGATGCGAGCAGACGGCGCGTTATGTTAAAGCTGGAGCAATTATGTTAGTTTGACTCTATGCCAATTAAAAACGGTTTATTTATAAAAAAAAACGTGTATGACGTTTATCAAGTGATCTTTCTAATGAATAACAGCACCTCAAAGTTGCTTTTTATATAAAAAAAAACTTTAAAAAGTTTAGAAAACAGCTGGGAGCTTCACAATATAGACCTTTTCATCATCCTCCGCGTGGGCGCGGCCATCTTGGAATCACGTGACGCGGCAGCCATTCGGTTGCTTCAACTTGCTGCTCCGCTCTCCCCTCCGCGCCTTGGTGGATGCGTTGTATTCGATAGTAGACTGTAGTCCGGTACGTCTACTCGACGACCAAGAAACCACGGGGATCAAAGGACCTTATGACAACTGAGGTTTGTTTACTGGTAGTGACATACCATTCTCGGTAAGAAGCGCATATATTTATATCGCGCATTTAGGATTGGAAGGCATCAAGAATGCCCAGCGCAAGGAAACTGTCCGTATTTCCTGAAAGTATCGTTGTTTGTATTCATAATATATCGGAAACAGCTTCTTTTGATTACGTGAGGAAACTCGCGGAGGAGATAGGCAACGGACATTTAACTTGTGTATGTTATATGAGGCTAGAAGTAATGGTACGTCAACATCAGGCGATTTGTTTGTTCATATCACACCTACTTGTAAATGAGGTTCTCAATCTTTTTTCTGCGACGTAAACATTCGGTTGGTCGGTTTACTTATGAAGTTTAAGAAATTGTATGCCGTGCTCGCTCCCACTTTTACAGTCATTTAAGTGATTTATTGATTATATTTAGATAACCAGTGCCATACCCTTTATTCATTTTAATACAAAGGTTGGGACATCCTGCGTACGAAACTGCCACAGTCACATAACAGTAGCGAGTTTTAGAATAGCGTGCACAAAGAAATAACGTCGTTTATATTTGCAAATGCAAAACGCAGTTTGCGTTCGGCGCATGCGCAATAATGGCGCCGCTTTTTTTGCGTACGTTGTTGTTTTACCAGTATCTAAAACTGAATGGAAGGCGCCGAATAAACAAGGACGATGAAGGAAAAGCTCACAATATTTGACGCCGAAAAAAAAAAAAAAAAAAGGAAGTTTGCATAACAGTTATTTGAGTCCAGGATTGCCGATGGCGAATACAGGTTTACCTTTGGCGGCTGGCGAAGCCGAAATTTACAAAGTGAATCTGTTCAAACAAATAAATATTTGTTCACACAAGTCCGTGAAGTGGTGCCTAGCGTTAGAATTCAGGTAAACCTTCCGAGCTATTTCTCCTCCTGCGCCCTTTAATTCTATTTGGCCAATTTTACGGAAGACAAATGCCAGATTTAGTTTGACAGGCCTGTCACTGGTATCATATCTTCAGTAAGCAAATGTTCATAAGAATAATTTATTTCCTAGGGCCAAATCGCAAAATGCTGCTTATGAGTACTTTAGCAAGGTTGATAATTTAAGAAATTTCCTACTCGCCTTGTGACAACATGCTCGAGTACTAAATTAAAGAGAAAGAGGCCGAGACGATACTATTTGTTCATATCAATAATCTGCGTCATTACACGATATGTTTTTAATCTGCGAAGTTCGCTAAAGGTTAGGTGCCCACGAAAACCAAACAGTGGCTAGTAAACTCGGGAGTTCATCTGTTCCGGTCGATTCAGCACATTGCTAATCAAGCTGCCGATATGCTTCTTTACATTCACGTGTTACACTTTTCATTAGTTCGTTCTTCTGGAAGTGGGTGCCATCAGGTACTGCCGTAGACGATGGTAATCTTCCCTGTACATCAGTCAGGCGTTCCGCAACCGACCATAATCAAATACATCAAAGAAGTTGGTAAAAAAAAAAAAAAAAAGGCAATTTAGGTTAAGATACACCTCGTAGTCCTCAGAGTGGTTCAATACCACTGTTTCATTGGCTGTGTGCTACAAGGAAAACAATCGTATCACAGAGTTCACCAAATACATTGAAAACAGCAACATAGCCACGTTCACGTTGAAACCGAAACCAACCAAATTGAAGCAACCTAATGGCGTCGAGTGCCTCAGCGCCCTCTATCCGGCAGTGAGGCAACTACTAAAATGAAAAGGTCTATAGCAGTGTCGAAACCAAAGCATTACAAGTAACGACGTCACTGGTAACGTGTTAGTTTTTTTTTACTAACATCCTGGTTAGAATCCCAAATAAATAAAGAGTAATGTCATTATTTTATAATACCTCCTATCAAATTACGTTACTCGTTACTCTTGAATAAAAATGGGTACATGATCGTTTGAAAACAAAATTTTTATTCTGTACACTGCGTAAAAGTGCCAAAGAAATCCCAACAAAGCTTTGCATAACCGGCGTCATTTCAAACTCCTTCGGAAGACACTTTTAATGTTTCAATGACTGGGCCCAAAAAGGCGCGAGATTAACACTGTGTGAAACCCCTAAGCGTCCTCGGTGCAGTCTTTTTAGGGAAGCTGCTAAGAACCTAAGCAGCCGTCTCGCTGGAAAGAGACATCTGTTCAGAACGTAACAATCTGCCGCCGCTCGAAGGATTTTGCCTCAGCGTCCCAAGCTACTCCAGCTGGTCACATCCTTGTCTTCAAAA